ATCTTGATATTAAATGCTCAAACCCTTGATATTTATGATATTTGAACCCAAAACCTCAAAATATAACAACAATTTAAAAAATTAGTTATTACAAATATTTTCATTAGAAATATATTAAATATTTGTCATTAGAGAAATAATTTTTTTATCAATTTAAAATAAATATAAGAATATTTATTCAAAAATAATTTTTAACCATTTTCAATTCAAGAATATTTATTCATCAATAATGTATTTTTAATATATTTTTAATAATGTAATTTTAAAAAATATAAAATTATAATATAATATTTTTTCGAGCTGCTCACGAGCTTTTCGAGTCGAATATCGAGTAGCTCGTTTCGGCTCGTTAAGAACTAGAGTCGAGTTCGAGCTCGAGTCGAGTCCATTCGATCCGAGTATTTATCGAGCCAAGATCGAGTCGATCTCGAGTAGCTCGCGATCTGTCTCGTCTCATTTACAGCCCTAATCAATACTATACGTCAGTATCGATACCCAATCTACATTATGGAATTCGTCTTCCAAAAATGGTACTAATACTTTTCCATTAGTATCGATAGCCTTAATATTGATGCTACTCCTACGGTATCGATATTGTTCTACTGATTTATACAATTTCACCTTATAATATCGATATTGTTCCTCTAGTATCAATACTCAAACCCATATTTCACCTATTTCTGCTTTGAAGTACAGGTACTGTTCATCCAGTACTAATACTCTTACCCATAAATTTCCTATTTTAACTCGAAAATTTACCAACACTCACCTAAATCCCACACTTTTAACTCCTTTCAAGTCTTTAAACTCAACTACACTTATTAAACTCAACTTATATCACTTTAACATTCCTAATCATTCCAAATCCCACTAGAACACTTGAAACCAAAAATCATCCCAATTATTCCACGTACTCCAAATCATTTTCCAACACCTTAAACTTCTTATTCTAGTTTATAACAAGTCAAATATAACTTCAAAATCCATTTATTAATCATTTCTCATAAATTCTCCCCAAAAACCCTATTTACTCAATTTCCAATAACTTATCCATCCTTTAGTTTTTACTTCTCTTTAAACTTTATCAAGCTTCCCTAATACCCCAAGAATCAAAACCAATCAAAATTTACAAGAAATAACTGAGGTAAAGATTTATTACCTGATGCGTTTGGATTGCGGAATCTTACATTACCAAAGGGAATGTTTTTTTTTCGGAATTGTATTCCCACATTTGGTTCACGGAATCTTACATTACCGGGAATACTCTTTTCCCAATAGTAGCATTTTTTGGTTAAAATGGTGGGAATGTCATTACCTCTAAATTCTTAGATAATCTTACATTCCCACCACTTTGGACAAAAACCCTTGGACTAATGAATTCTTTTTATAATGATCCTTCTAAATTCTTATTTTTCATACTTTACTCAACATTATAATAATAATAATAATAATAATAATAATAATAATAATATAAAAAGAGTCTGATTTACTAAAATACTAATAATTTTAATAATTTAAAATATTTTATATTTTATATTTTAAATATTCAATATTTTATTATTTATAATTTTATGGGATGAAAAAAATATTATTATTGTAAAAATGTAATTATTTAAAATAATATTTTAGTACCATAATATTTTTTTATATTATATTATATTTTATATAAATAAATATGATATTTATGAACATTATTTAAAATATAAATTTAATATACTAATTATATTAATTATATATTAAATGTAATTTCTCCTCAAAAGTTAGATAGTATAACGATTAAAATATTTTTTTATGAATTTTCATTCAAATATTTATAAATTAATATTAAAGTTTAACTTTAAAAAATATATCACAAGGATAATTTGGTAAAATATGCATCCAAGTAATCTTATATTTCTCCAACCAAACACTATAATCTTACATTCATGCTAAACAAACCAAACAAGGTAATGCAATATTCCCATAGTAATGTTACATTCCAGTAATGTTATTCTCAAAGATAATTTTACATTCTGTGAACCAAACGTCCCATAAATACGAAGACACAGTTGAGAGGATGAAGAAAGGATGAATAGAATTATAGATTTCTTCATTCATGTGTATATAATACACCACTAAGAAATTTTAAATTCATTTTTTGTCTAAAGATCAGTATGCCCTTCCATCTTTCAATCTTTGCTAAACAAACCTACACCAATCATTTCCAATTAACTCCCTGAATTTTTAATTTATCAAAATTTAATTACGAAGTTTTAAAATCTTACACTTTAGTCACTAGCCCGTTGTTTGGGATGTTACAACTTATATACATTATCCCAAACTAATTAAACTCCCGAATGTTGGATATATATTACACACATTTTGTATGTATTCGCTTGACTTTACGTGCTTGCATCTGCATGCAACAGATAAACAAACGAACTACTTTAGAGGATCCAACAATAGAATATAGGATCATGCATGTATATATTAATGTATATATTATAGGGTTAGTAAAAAAGAAGCAGATACATTATTTAATAAAGATATAATAGGGAGGAAATGAAAAAGGAAAGGCTTGTCGTGAAATTCAAAGAAAGGGGGGAATAGACTCTCCCACCTTTTAATCACATCAAATATCCAGGGAGATTTGATTCTCCGGCCTAGTTTTGTTTTTCCAAAGCTAACCCCCTTCCCACAAATTAAAATTATTCTATGTGCCCCCTATTTTGATCCAAGATGTAACACCTTGCCTGCATGCACCGACCCCACCCCCACCTTACATGATTAACCCTCTTAATTCCCATCTCTAAACTGCGATTTAGCTGTCTCCACCATGATTAGACCCTTTGATCGCAAAAATAACTACATTTATGACCCATCGACGCCGATCAAACTGCTCCATCCAACAACCTATTTTTGCCGACTCAAGGCTTTGTCTGCAAATCCACTTCCATTTTGTGCCTTGTGACGTAAAACATAATTTGCATGTAAATTCATCAAAATATAGGTTTTGCTTAAATGTCAATTTGTCTTTCTTGTTGTATTTGATGGAAAACCTAAAGTTTGACTTGGTGACAAATCTTGTAACCTTAAAATTAAGGAAATATGAACACAAGATTATATTCTTAATTAGATATTGAGGGCATATATTAAAAAATATTCATTTTTAATAGTATATTAATCTTATTCACACATCATCAATGTTTAAATATATGAGTTCACTATTTTTCTCAGAAAAGTTGACTATCAGCAAAAGAAAAACAAAACAAATTTTGGAGGAGTCCCTGACGACAAATTGTACCACTAAAATTTTAACCAAATAATCTCTCCTTTATCCTATGCCCTTACCCTCCTTGTTCTATTGATTTTGTACAATGGAATATGTTTCTTTTAATGCCGCGTAGGGAAAAGACAGTGTAATCAAAGCAAGAAGAATCTGATAAAGATATAGTTGGATATTGACTTTAACATATTATTTGGACTGTTGATTAAACTATCAGGTTAAGGGTTTAGCCGTCTAGGGATTGGCTTTTCATTATTATTTTTGCTTTATGAACCAAATTGGCATTCTTGATTTCAGTGGCAAGCTGTTGGGGTTATACAACACACAGTGCAAAAGAATAAATACTCTTAATATCAGGTTAAAGGTGCAATTGAAGTTTGACTTAAACTTGTTTTTTTCTGACAATTAATTATTACAATTTCATATCACAAAACGACAACAGGGAAAGACCGTAATAAGAAAAAAAAACACTGATTTGGCATGATGATTAAGTTAAAAGAAATAAAATATTGGAGTTTTCATGCCTTAAACCAACCAGCAATTTAACTATACTTAAATTAAGAAAATTTAAACACTGAAACTTCTGCTGCAGAAACCTACACCGACTACTGCATATATGTTTGGATCCATTCAAGTTGGCCGACAGTCTGTGCTGAGGCAACCGATAGTTAAGACACAATCTATGCTAAGCCTAGTGCATGCAAGAAAAGTGTAACATCTTTTTGTTAAGGCAAAAGTTGTTTGTTTTGAAAAAATGTCGAGATTTGGAGAAGCCCGAGGCATAAACACTATGATTAAGGAATAATGTCTTTTCTTCTCTTTCTAATCTCATGTCTAATATGTCTTCGTCTTCTTCACGATGTTTGAGACAGAACGAGGGGGTTGATGTTCAAACACATATATATATTCCTTTAGGGTTTTTTTGGTATCACATCAAATAGAGATTTTTTTTCAAAAATGAAAAAAAGAAGAAAAAAGTTATTATGCATTGGTTGGTGGCATGGCCTAGAATCCCGCTACTTGTTTGATATCAAGACGGTACCGTTTTGGAAGATATTTGGGTATTGGCATATATACACATGGGATCCCCGGTTTTACCAATAAGAGTCAATGGGTGGCCCGGGAATGAGTTTCAAGTTTCAACAAGATATATCATTGGAACATTCTCCCCTTCCTGGTCTCAACAAACTACTTGATGGTATTCCCTCAACTAAAAATCAATTATGTATATATGCGTATAAATGCTACCCCTTTTGTCGGTTAATATCAATTGTAATTGATAGCTACATTTCTTCTCTCTGAAGGGTATATCCAAGCTAATTTAATAAATACCTATATATATATATATTATGTTCAGTCAAACAAGTACTACGTTTTATTGTTGGTTGATTATATTTAAATACATATATAGTAACGTGCTGGTAGGATTAAAAATATTTTATTCAAATTCTGTCATTAGTTTATGTATTATGTATGAGTTGTGGATTTAGTTCATGTCCTTGAAATAGTTACAAGTAATCCCATAATGGATTGATGAAACAAAAATGCATGAACCGAGGCGAGTAGTACCGGTGGTTCAAAACCTAAAAACAATCCGACAGACCATGTGGCTCGGAGATAATTAGAAAACAAAGCCACTTTGATCATTGCAGAAGGGAATGATTATATTGAGGTTGAAAGAAGAGATTAATCAAATCAGCTAGAGTTTTTGCAAGGCTTCTAGAGAGCACATTTACGAAAATGGAAGACATCTTGATTCAGTAAAGATAAGGGTCCCTCGTCGAAGAATAATTCTCACTTTTTTATTTATCATCTCTACACGTATATATATATATTCATCAACATAACTGATAGCTGTAATAATAACCTGCTGACTTTAGGTACTAAGGTATGATTATATGTAGGGTTGTTCTGTTATACACCAGCATTCACCACGTGGCACAATGGGTCGGATGAAGATGATGATCTAGTGAAACTCCACAGGTCTATCTCGCTGTTGTATTGAACGGCCGGTAATTGGAGATCATCATGATTTTGGTGATCAGTGCTGGGGTTGCTGTAAACCATAGAGGTGTCACTGAAGCAGGCCAATTGCCTAGATGTCTCTGTTAGCCCGTTGAGTTGGGAGGCTACGAGCCGGTCCAGCGCTGCCCAGTTTGTGAGTCGTGACTCATTACCACTCACCTTATTTGTGATCGAACCTCCACTGTCCATCATTATCTGCCGATAACCGGTTTGGCTGCTCGTCGAATTCGGGCTCTCGAGGCTCGGGAGTTTCATGAATGAGTCCGGGTAGCCATTGCCGATGGCTGTCTCGATAGGCCTGATGAATCTCGAACTGTTGTTTACTATATCATCTTCATTGCAATTCCGTCGCATGTGTTCGAGTATCTGCTCCAAGTCTCCTTCATTACATGAACCGAACATATGGTTCCTGGTTTCTGAACTCAGAGATGAGCTAATGGGATCATCCAGGGTTTTTTGATTATTTTTCTTCTTGAAGATACGACACACCACCCATCCTTCTTCTTGTGTTCCCTCTTCCATAGCATTGGAGACCTTGATTTATATATAAAAAAAAAACATGGTACCAGAGTGAGAATTATACTAAATATTTTTCTCCTTGTCCTGTCCTGTTACAACGTAAAACATCTAGGATAAAAGTCTAAAGTTTTCACAGTTTCTGTTTCCCGATAGAAAACATATACTGGTAATGAAAAAGGTTGACTTAAAGGCTTGCTTACAGTTGTTTCAACGATGCTATCGTCTAGCCTGTATTCATGCATGATCCAATCAGATTTTTGGCCATGAGGAGCTCGCCCTTTGTAGAAAACCAACGTTTTTCTCATCCCGGTCCTCCGGAAGTTGCTATAAATGATCTTGTCTCGCCCGGTCGCCTTCCAGAATCCGGCGGCGGTGGCACGGTTTGTGCGAGTTCCGGTGGGATACTTCTTGTCTTTGTGGCTAAAAAAGTACCAATCATTTTGAGGAGTGGATCCGATTTTGCAACTCTCTGCAAACCAATTGTTGATAAAGTAAATGGCAATGGAACGTATATAAAAATCAATACCAACTTGCATATGTACCTTGAATATCCCATGGCTCGAGCTTATTAAGATCAACATCCCGAATTACATCTAAATCTATTTTCTCATAGGAAACCTTCTTTTTGAGATAGTATTGCAAGAGCTCCTCTTCCGTGGGGTGAAATCGGAATCCAGGTGGGACTTGGGACTGTCCATTTACAGATATGCTCATGTTTTCCGGCATTCGGAAAGGAGACGAGAGAAGTGAATAATTCCAATTCTGGTGTGGGCAATGGAGTATGTGGAGAAGGGTATATATATGTGTTTACAGAACATAAAAAGGCCAAATTAATATACAAATTAATAAAATGAAAAAGGAAAAGGGTTTGGGTTATTGATGGGGACTGGTGGTGCCTGGCTAAAAAGCTAAAGGCAAAGAGATGAAGTAGGGTGGGGTTTTAGTTTTAGCATGCATTGGAGAAGAGGCAGGCTACCTAGATGGAAAGAGAAACGACATTATTTAGGGATAAAATGTGGAAGTGGGGGATCCAAATTGTGGGTATCAACTATCAAAATGAGAGGGGTTGTAGGACCCAATGTGGGGGCATGCCTCCATCACAACTACGACCTTCGACCTTAAAATCTCCTTAGAAAAGCACCTCTCTAACTACCAAACATTATCCATCATCATCTGATTCTTTCTCTATATCAACCTCTCTTCTCCCTCCAACCCAAGACTCTACTAATACAATCGGGAACAAATACAAAATTTTATGTTAGGAATATAAAATTATATCATTAATAAAATAATATAAAAAAACTACTTAAACTACGTAAGGATTTAAAAATTTTAAAGAGTAAAATATTTAAAAGTTTTAAAAGTGCAATCGTATCTACTAACATCCTTCTATTCATCCGCACTGCTCTAACAAGAAAGAGATGTCATGAATCAAGCTCAAATAAGTGAATATTATTTAAATACCATATGATTAGAACACAAACATATTTTCATTATTGACAGCCCCTTTGTCTTGATTTCACCTTTGGTTCTCCCTCTATTTTTGGATTGTTTTATTTACCTTTTGCTTTTACTTATGGCATGTATAAATGTGAAAGACTGATGCTTGTCTCTTGGTATGTTCATTCTACCGAATAGCATCTGAGATTCTTTCTCCCCTTTCCTTCTATGCTGTGAACTGTACTTTTGAATGATGAAATCAATATATGTGATGAATTATTGACAACACCTTTTGGATGCAAAGTGAATCTTCTTTTTTAACCACATCATCTCTCATTCATGCTTAATGCTCCAACTTCAACTAAATTTTACAATCTTAAATTTCCTTTTTCAATAAAAAAATATTTCTTAATCTGCCCTTAAATTTCAAAACCTTAACTGATCATGTCTTTTCTAAATAAATTTAGTGTCTAAATTCACCCAAAACATCTCCAAGATCCTTCAAAAACAAATTAGTTTAATTTAAACCCATTCATCCCTTTAATCAAAGGAGAAATTGCATTTTTGGCCTCTCTCAATAAATAATGATTCAATTTAGATATGTTAACACAAAAAATAGTTTTGGCCTAAAAAATATTATTATTATTTCGATCTAATATTAAAATTCCTGAATTTACCCCCATCCAATAGTCTATATAGCATAAATCGAATGTTTACTTAAGTAAAATTAATTCTAGGTAGAAAATTATGTGATTTCTTTAGTATCCAAATTAAAATTATGTTAGCTTTGAGAGCAATTAACAAAAAATAGTAGCAAATCAGAAGCTAGAGAATTTTAAAGAGAACCCTAGCTAATTAATTTAACGAAATTATTTATTTGTTGGGTTTAGTATGACCTTATCCCCAAGGTCGCAAGCAATGGCACGTAGTTGTGTAATTAGTTAAAGGAAGTCTCTAAGGTCACCATTCTAATCATTTTCATGCTCTCAATTCCTTAACTCAAATCATTATCTTTGGTTGATATAACGATGGACCAACCACTTTATAGTTTACTTACTTACCGCCATATTTTACCCTTCATTCTTTACTGATCTTTTTATATTTTACCGTGACACCTATATTATAAGTGGAAAAATATTTCATTATATATATATATATATATTAAATTTAACAACAATGATTACAAGTTGAATAATAATAAATTTATATATGAATTAATATTAAAGATGATAACGATCTTTAGATAAATGGTATGGAATTTTTTTATTTAATAATTGTATACTAATATAAAAATGTTATTAAAATTATTATTATTATTTATGCTAATTTTTTAAATCAATAGTAACACTGTATTAGAAATAAAAAAAATTAAAAAAACTATTAAAACTCTAAAATAATTTTTAGAAAACATAAAATTTTATTTAAAAATTAATAAATTTTTAAAATATCCATTTCACAATATCATGATATGATACACGACATCGATTAATATTAAAAAATATTTTATTTAATGATTAATGTTTGTCAAAAAGATAAATTGATAAAATTTTAAATAATATACATTTAATAAGGCATAAAACAATTCAATAGGTGTTGGATATATGAACTGCAACACTACACCGTTAGCACTGACTGGAAATATAAACAGTAATTAAAAGGAAAAGATTCGTAAACCGTGTCGTGGTATAACCACTGTCTTAGAAACGAATTCGCCCCGATGTGTGTAATCGCTACACTAGGCAGACCGTCCCCCGAGGTTAACACGGTCGCTCCGAATTCCGTACACCCAAAATCGGAGTGGACTACCGGTGGTATTGCTCTTCTTATCGGAAAGCACACATAGAGAATATTTAGAAAACACTTGGAGAGTGAATTATGAATGTTGAGAGTGAGTTGGGAAGCTGAATATAACCCTCTATTTATAGGCTAAAAATAGGGTTAAAATCATCCATAAAATTTCAGGATTAAATCTCTTCTTTTGTAACAGCTGAAACGTCTAGATGAACCAGACTCAAAAATAGTCCAGGTTCATTGCATCATTATTCAGCTGTTATAACTCTCGAAATTATATCATGTAACCCCTGGAATTAAATCTAATAACTCTTGTAACTCATGATATTAACAGTTTGTCTCCTCTGTACAAAGCTGGAAATCAGTCCAGATACATCTTAACGTTTTTGATTTAATTTAGGAAAAGCTGTTTAATTTTTGAATTTTCTCTAAAAAGATAGTTTCCGCGTGGACGTGTCGAAGACACGTATTACCACGACCACGACCACGATTACGAGCCGAGCTGAGCCGAGCCGAGACGAGTCGTACCGAGCCGAGCCGAGACGATACGAGACGGACGGCAGTGGCAGTGCGCAAAGAGTCCCCCTTGTTCTCTTTCACTCAACAAGGAAGTGGGAAATCCAAACCATAAATACTCATTCCCAATAGTATTTCCAATACTATGTGGGATTGAGCATTACCAATATTCCCCCACTAATGCAAAAGAATTCTTCTGAAACATGAAAACAAACTTTCCAGAAGAGCAATAGTGAGATTAGTTGCTTAAGCACTAGTGAACGTATCTGGAACTAGTACATAGTGATGATGAGCAATCCTTCTCTTAGATAAGTGAAACTAGTCTGGAACTTTCTAAGATGGGGGTAAACTCATAACACACAACTAACCCCTTCATCCACCTGAGTCCTCGATGTGTAAGATATATATATATATATACAAAAGTATATATTTGGCCATCTTACCTCAGGATTCTAGTAAGTGTGCTAAAAAAATGGCCTAACATTTTTCATAGAAGACGGCTAACCCTTCTCACTTACATAGGTTATTTCATTAAGTTTATCTCGATATAAACCACCCTTAACAGAGATATGAAATAATTAAGAGCTTTTATAAAAGCTCAACCTCACAAAGGGTATGGTGACTTTCTTCAAGTTCATTATAAATGAACCACCCAAACTCTGGGCTAAGAAGTCATTAAGAATAAATATTCAACCTCATTTATCGGTAAATTCAATAAGTCCTTCTCACTAGAACCATCCAAATACTTGGATTTGAATTTATTAAGAGTTTAACAAACTCAACCTTTCTGTCGGTAAGTTCATCATTTCATACCCACTCACTCTGGGTTATGAACTTATTAAGAATAGATATTCAGCCAAAATCGGTAAATTCATCAAGTCTTTCTCACTAAGACCACCAAAAGCCTGGGCTATGAATTTATTAAGAGCAATTAAGCTCATCTTGGGCATGCACATTATTCATCATAGGGATAGACAGTAGGAATGTGCACTACGAGTCTTTCCGTGGTTTCGTTTGACCTCATGGAACTTAGATAACTAAGTTGGGTATCCACCATGAATTCCTCAACCAATGGGCTTTAGACCCATCACCCTCGACGAATCTAGGACCAACTTCTGACTTAACCCTTTGGTAAGTGGATCTGCTAAGTTCTTTTCCGACTTCACATACTCTAAATAGAGCACTTTATTCTTTATTAAGTGTCTAACAGATTCATATCTTATGTGAATGTGTCTTTTCTTACCATTGTAAGCTTGGTTCTTAGCCACACATATCGCAACTTGTGAATCACACAATAATGAAACCGGAGGATTCGGTCTTCCCCATAACGGAATATCTGCTAACAAGCTTCTAAGTCACTCGATTTCTTGCCCAGCTAGGTCAAGAGCTATAAACTCTGACTCCATGGTAGAACGAGCAATACAAGTCTGTTTTGATGATTTCCACGAGATTGCTGCTCCACCAAAAGTAAAAGCATACCCGCTCGTAGAGCTTACCTCATCATTATCATAAACCAGTTGACATCACAATACCCTTCCAGTACCGCAGGAAAGCCAACGAACTCAAGTTTCCAATCCAAAGTACCCTTAAGATACTTCAGTAAGTATTTAAGAGCAATCCAATGTTCACCACTCGGATTATGATTATATCTACTCAGTCTACTCACAGCATAAACAATATCAGGCCGAGTATAGTTCATTAAGAACATTAAGCTTCCAATTAATTTAGCATATTCAGTTTGGGAAACGTTACTTCTTTTATTCTTAACTAGATGTATGTTAGGGTCATAAGGAGTTCGAGCATGGACGACATCAAAACTATCAAATTTCTTTAGCACTTTCTCTATATAATGTGCTTGACATAAAGAAAATCCCTTCTCAGTTTTGGTAACTTTGACTCTTAATATTACATATACTTCTCCCAAATCTGTCATCTCAAACTTAGTGGACAAGAAATTTTTAACTTTGTTAATAGACTCAATGTTAGAACTGAAAATCAACATGTCATCAACATAAAGGCTTATGATAACACATTCAGTGTCAAACATCTTAGAATACACACAAGCATCCGAACCATTCATAACAAAACCAAAACTAAGAATAGTTTTATGAAATTTCTCATACCACTGTTTAGGAGACTGCTTAAGTCCATAGAG